CCGTCCTAAGTGGCTGAGACAGGACTCAGCACCACATGTGAGAAGAATGAAGACAGCACAAGTCAGTCATCCTGAAGTTGGATCAAAGAAAGTCTGGGACTGTTTGAAGGAGTGTTTTGGCTCTCCAGAGATCATTTAGAGATCTCTCTCTGACAGACTCACAAACTTGTAAAGGTCAAAGATCCTGTGAAGCTGAGAGCTCAGTGACCTGCTGATACAGGTGAAAGCAGCTAAATCAGAAGGTTGTCTTACCCACAACATCCAGGTAAAGTGTCTCTCTCAGGGTTTGAAGTGTAAGCTCGACCAGTGTGTTAGAAAATGGAACATGTCCTGATGTCTCCGAGTTCTTGTTCAGTATATTAATAAGATCCAGATTAATGTCCATCTTTCAGAGGTTTACAATCAGTCTTCTTGATATTTCTGACAGTTTCCTGTCTGAACACCTGTGCTGTAAACTGACCAAAGATGAACCCGAGTCTGATCACATGACTCATCGTAGTGTTCTCATGTCTCCAGCCATCTCTCCTGTGTACACTGATACCATCATTGATCCTTTTCCTACTGTAACAATGAATGCTGTGTTTTGATTGGCTGTGTTTTGATGCATCTGTACAGATTTGGACATAACTGTGTGATCAGTGTTTGTTCTGTGTGTGAGTTTAAAGTCAAAGCTCTCTCCCTGTTCTTCTTTGTCAATAATATCAAACCTAGGGATTAGAATTGAAAACAATTTATTGATTTGATTCCTTATCGATTCTCATTGGCTCCACTCTGAGATTCATCACCATCTCAAAGCAGCATATCAAAGACATTCATGCAAATTAATTACATGCTGGGTGGTCAAATGTTTGTGTATGTTGGAGGTATTTAAATAAATAAAAGTAAGTGGAGACTCTATTTTCCTCTGACACATGAACTGAAAGCAGCTGATCGTAGTGAGAGTGAAAGAACCGAACAAGGATGGTTTCTCGATTCCCATCCCGAACCAACACTGTCTGACTAAAGTCTAACTCAGATAGTTTAACTCCGGGTGTTTTCTGATTCTTCTCACATCCCTTCATCAAACAGAGATAAAAGGATGAGATTTAATCTCTTTTCCTTGTAAAAAACATTGTTTTAGTTTTATCTGCTCTGTTAAAGTTTCCCACGCTCCCAAACTCTGTTATATGATTCAAATAAAGTGTCTTTAGTGACGATTTATCCTGATATAACAAACCTGATCTTTTCCTGGTGCTGATAGTTTGGAAACTTTCAGTTTCTCCACAATGAGTTACAAAACCTCCTCCAGAACTCCTCCTTTGTATTTTAATGCTTCTTCTTCCATTAGTTTATAACCATTTATATTCACTAAGATTCTGGGAGCTGTGGTTTCTTTTTAA